GTTTTTTTTAATTATCCTAAATAATTTATAGTTAAATATATAAACAATAATGTTTGTAAGGTTGAAATAATATAAAAGTCTTTTTAATAAACAACTTGATGCAGACATTTTGTACTTGTCCCATCAGTCACAAATGCCTGTCCCACCAGTCACAATAAAAACAAATTTTTTTAATTGTTTCTACGTAGGTAATCAGTCTAATTCTTCATAATATTCAATGTTTGTAGGATTAATTTCGTATTTTCAAGGAAGTATTTTTTAAAAGTTTAGTGCAAGAACTGACAAGTGGACTTTAAGTATACCTTTGGTAAGAGAGAAGGATTTGTTCTTAGTCCCACCAATCACACTCAGTCAAATGATAATTACGAGAAACTTAAAAAGTAATGGAGGTTTTTGACCTTGTCAAGGGATCTTGTTAATTAGTTATTCTTCTATATTATACACGGAAAAAAGTAAACTGTAATAAATAACAGTCGATTTTTAATAAGTAATGATCAACTGCTAAAAATTAACATTTCAAACAGTAAAATCGTGATTTTACTATTCACTTTATAATATTTACCATTTAAACGTTATAATTTACTCTTTACATGGAAGCAAATACTATTTCAAACAGTAATATTCGCTATGTAACTGTCTTAAATGTTTAAGTAGAATAATTAACAATTCAGACTTTGATATTTATCATTTGGTACCTTAAAAATGATCTTATGATATGTAAAAAGTATAAAATAAAGTTAATAAATTTCTAATACAAGCAACGTCAATATTTACAAAGTAAAATGGTAAATTTTAAACGCAACGCTAAAAATCAAACTGTAATTATTGACTTGCTTGGACTGGTAAAATGTATATTTTAAAAGTATAATTTTTACTGTTTCAAATGTTAAATTCTCCCAGAGTGAGACCCTTTCTCTTTGATCTGAGTTCCCCTTCTTCTCATAATATGGACTATATATTGAATTGGCAATTTTTACTGTTTGAAACTGTAATTTTTTAAGATAAAAGAGTCATTATTTACTATAGTGACAACTATCACTTATTTTAGATATTAAATTATAAATTGTGGCTTTTATACTTTCTACATTAAGTTCTGTAATATTAATATTTTTGCCACCCCGATGTCCGCTTTACTGTTTGAAACTATAAAAATTTACCGGAATCCGAGTGAATATTACAGTTTACTTTTTTCTGTAAGATAAATTTTACTACAGTATAAGTTTCAGTTACATAATGATACCTTATAATTGATGGAATTTCAGAGTCAAATGTCCCCCCAGTTACTATGGAATGCCCCTTAACTTAAAATAATCTAAAAATTTTTATAAGTAGTGCTAGAACCACCAAGTACTTATTAAGATGCAGAATAATTAAATTTAAAATACTGTAATCAAAAAATCGTAAAAAGCAGTTCTTATACTGTTGTAAAATGCTAAATAAATAAATCTATCTAATAAATAATTAGTCATAATTAATCTTACAAATTTATCAAAAGTATTAATATTAAAAAAAAAAAATAAATAAAATTTTATTTAATTTTTGTCAATTCAGAGAATGATTTTGGCCACTTGTTGATCCACGTGGCTCGCGATAGAGATAAATATATATCGCACAGAGGGTTTAAATTTAGTATTCGTGTCTTAGTTAATACATACATACATACACACTCATTTTAAATTTTCTCTTGATCTATCATTCTATCATTCATCACACTCTTTGTTTACTCTCATACAGTGAGGTAGTTTGGACACTTGTTGCAATCATCAATAAAAATTATGAAGAATTATTTATATTAATTAAAAAAAAATTTTTTTAATTATTAAAAATAAAAATTCTAATTTTTTCTACAGTTAAAATTTAATAATTTATTTTTTTAATAATTAAAATAAAAAATTTTATTTTTTTTTACTAATTAAAATTAAAAAATTTATTTTTTTAATAATTAAAAATAAAAAATTTATTTTATCAATAGAATAATTTTCATTTAAAAAAAAAGTAGCGATGTCTACAACTATATATACTTGACTTGAATCTCGTTATCTTAGCAAGAGTCACATAGAGTATAAAGATAGAGAGGGTTATAAAAGTGAGTAGACTGATGTATTTATATATATATATACACACACAATCGTTTTCCAATAATCTGCGAATCGATATGCTTTCTTTTTCTCACTTATTTTCTTTATTTTTATCTTCATTACTTGATTTTATTTCTTCTTTTTTTTGTTTTTTATCTCACTTACTTACCCACCCTTTTTCACTCTCTTTTATTATATGTTTTTCTCTAACAGGGTATCTTTTTTTCTACCCAGATATATCTCTGTCCGTGTAAACT